TTTTTATATTAGTAAGATTAAAAAACATTTTAACCCCAAAAACAATAGACAAAAAATATTTTTATTAAAAAGAATCAGGTGAGTCACTTTTATCGAACAGCACTGTACACACACACACACACACACACACACACACACACACACACACATATATATATATATATATATATATATATATATATATATGAAACAAAATATGTATGAAATAAATACGAAATATGTAATATGGAGAATCCTTTTCCCGGCCGGTTTCGTGATTTTATTGTCTCACCTCTTACTAAGGCTTTCCGATGTTCCTCTAGGCTTCTTGTTTAAATTTATGAGATAAAGAGTTATTATTTACACTATTTATTTTCGGATTGTTGTCCTCACCTTTGGTCAATGAATTTTCATATTATTTTTCTAAAAATGAGGAGACATTTAAATTGGGTAACGACGTGAAAAGATGTTTAATGAGATGATGAACGGAGACGCGTGTTAGTTGATTCGTTCGTACTGATAAATCTGCTAATTTAGGAAAAATCTGCGCAGAAATACAAAGTCAGAACGAAAATCATACTTATTATAAAACCGAGTTTTTTTTTTTTTTTGTGTGTGTGTGTGAAGACTGTGTGTGTGTGTGTGTGTGTGTGTGTGTGTGTGTGTGTGTGTGTGTGTGTGTCTCTGTTCGTTTATATATTGGATTTCCTACATTTTCAACCGATTTCAACAAAACTTCACAGGACTACATAAAATTACCTTGCGGTGGTTCTGACAGCGCCAAAAATTGGAAAAACACAATTGTTTTTGCATGAAATCAATTTGAAAACACGATGAAGAGGCATCGCTATAATGAAAGGGGGACAACTCATATCGAATTATATTTATTATAAAACCCATGTTGTGTGTGTGTGTGTGTGTGTGTGTGTGTGTGTGTGTGTGTGTGTGTGTGTGTGTTCGTTTATATATGGGAACGGATTTCCTACATTTTTCAACCGATTTCAACCAAACTTCACTTTTCTTTTGGCAGGTAGTGTTTCTTATTGTCTTGCACACTTTTTTCTTTATTGTTATATTCAGAATGCTTTAAAAATTCCATTTACAATACAATTGTTTATAATAAAATTCTATTCAATAAGTAGACTCATAACGATTGAAAACAATGTTTTTGTTTTAATTTGGGTTTGACCAATTCGTGAAAAAAAAAAAGAAAAAAAGAAAAATTGCGTGTCCGTCAAGCTTAAACAATAATCTTTGTCAATTTTATTTTTCAGTCTTTATGATGGTTGATACTTGATCTATATCTTACTGTTACATCCCCGGGCAACGCCGGGCTCTACTGCTAGTGCTGACTAAAAATGACTAAACAGTATAGAAAAGACAAATTAATTAGCTCAATGAATTTGATAGATTATCTTTCACAGCAAGCGAAAATTAAAAGAGACGACAAAAAAAGAACATTAAAAAAATCGGATCAAACAGAAAAAAAAATGTGGAAAAATAGACAAAAATATTGACAAACAGAAAAGGTAAGAAAAATAAAACGTAATAAATGTCAAAATAAAACTCATGAATGGCATTTTAGAGTTTATTACTAACTCTTTTTATATTGGCCGTAAGGGATGAAATAAATAACGTTTTAAAAAAATACTACTTGAGAAAAATGTAATTTCGTTCTTTCTATATATGGCAGCCATCTCTGAAAAAATTCCTTACACCTGAAAATAATTGAAACGACGGGGAATTGGTTTTTACTGATGAATGTTTAGAATATTATGGACATAGGATATTAGACACTATAAGGTTTAAAGGAAAATAATCTTCTTTTTATTTATTTTATTTTATTTTTTATAAATTCACCCCAAGCAAGGCGATAATGTCATTAAGACGTAAGGAATCCCTGGGAGTTAAAGAGAAGGAAAATACTTCAGAAGGAACCGGAAACCCAACCCTAAGCAACAAACAATGGATAAACCTCTACTCCTGATCAAAAGACCGGGAGTTTAACCCGAACGATAGGCGAACCTATCTACTCCCATTTAGGAAAAAATAAATAAATAAATAACTAGAAAATCCAATTTCCAAAATTATAGAGTTCTTTTAAACTTTAGAAGGAACCGGAAATGCAATCCAAAACAGGAAACAAGGAATAAACCTCCTGTTAAAAAAGACCGGGAAGAAGAATCAATCAGACAATAGGTGAACTTATCTATTCCTATTGAGAAAGAAGGCAAGAATAATTATCACAAATCCTGAGTCATACATGATTTCTGTTTTGGGCAACTAATTATAATGACGAATGTATCCTTCTAATAGGCGATCATAGCTGGGCACAACTTCCTATCTCCCGTGGCGTTTAGCTGTGTTTCTGCCTTTGCTATTTTCCCGCCATTCACCCATCCATTCATACAAGCTTGTCATGTCTGAAGTTCCTGCCTTCAATATGCTCCTTCAGGTTAAATTTTCGAAACCCTCCTCCTCATTAGGTGTCCAACGAATTCTGAGTCTGATTATTCTTTCG